ATCATCTTGTCAGCAAATTTTAGAAAATTCTGATATACTGAAAGAGATACCTTTATTGAATAACGTTCAGTTACACAATATAAAAGATAAGCAATTGGTTAGATTCCAAGGTATGGTTCAGGATATGTATGATCCTGAATATTACTTTAAACAATATGAAGTAAGGAATACTAGAACTGGAGAAAGCAATATTAGATATGGAATATATTCAGATATAGCTCATTGCTTAGTAAGTATCCTTTATTTTTATATTTAGCCTTCTGTTTTAATATAGAGACTTGAGAAAGTTTTGAAAATTTTAGAAAGTTTTTTGTATACTTCTTTCTTTTATGCATCAAAATTTTTTTCAAGTTATTTTTTGGCCTGAACCCAATTGACCCTGATATCATTGAATGCTGAATTGTTTTAATTCGATTAGAGTAGTACTATGAAAAATGGAAAATTTTATATAAATTTCAACATTTCTTTAATTTATTTCTTTGTATTTAGAATCACTCATTATGACTTTATAGAAGTATTATGATGAGGCATTTGATGTTATTCTTTTGTATTCTGAATGTCTTATGTTATCCTTGCTTCTATTAAATGAGCAATTTAGATACGATACTGGGTCTAGATAAAAATTGTGCAGTCCAGGTGTGGGAAGCTGTAAGCGTAGCTTGTTCCATGTATAAGACTGCATACATTCATTCTCTGAGATCTAAAACTTGCATGGCATTGTTATGCAAGATCTTTAACCTCTGTTTTGTGTATACATAGCCACATGAAGAAATATCCTTTGAATCTAACACGAATGAAAACTCAGAAAGACAAACTTACATTGTAATTTCTACACCTGGTTTAAACGAATGGGCAAAAGAAATAAATACAAACATAGAACAGTCTGATGCGAGTGGAACAGATAACAATAGTATAGGTAAAAGAAGTCTAAATGATCGAGATGATAACGAGGCGGAGGAAATGGACTGCTCAGAGCCAATTACGAAAAAGGAAAAAGTTTTGAGAGATAATACCGATATAAACATGAGTAACGGTGGTTGTAGTGCAAAAGTTCAAAGTAATGTTTCGGAAGAGCATATATTAAATTTTCCTATCCCAATCGACGGAGGAAAAGCTTGCATAGTAAAGGTATACTAAATAATGCATGGGAATATACGTCAGATAAATATATACTTTTTATTTACAGTTTCTGAATTGATTTTTTCTCTTTAAAGATCTAAGACGAAACATTATTTTTTATTTTTTTACAGATTTACGATGGGACAAATTTGAAGCTGAATCAAGTTGTCGACATAGTAGGATTTATATCGTTAGATCCGATGTTAGGCACAATTCGTGCTTCTGAAGACGAGATGAATGAAGCTGAGATAAATACTCATAATCCGCCAGCTTCTCTGGTGCCTCGATTACACGCAGTGAAGGTAGTAGAACTCAATAAACCTCAGATCGTAAATGCTCCGGAAATTATTTCCAAGGCACAGCTCATCAGGGGTGATTTGCATATAATATTGAGCCAATTATTGTTCGGAGACCACTTAGCTGCAGATTACTTAATATGCCACTTGCTCTCAATTATGTATGTGTTTTTTGTCTAGATATTTTCTTTTTGAAGTTCATATATAGTATTTTTTTATTTTGTAATTTTTTCAGATATAGGAGGAAAGATTACTTCTGTGCCGGCACGTTCCCGCTAAACATAACGAATTTCCCAGCCAGTAAACTCAGAGCGTTTCCGAAAGAGTTTTATAACTTTTTAACATTATTCGTCAAGAAAAGCCACTTTTTAGAAGTGACTTTGGAAAATTTGAACGAATTAGCCTTGATTCCAAAGTAAGTTGGCGTCTCTGAACATACGTGTGTATGTGAATCATCTTGCAAGATAAATAGCTTTACATTATTTTATGTAGGAAAGATTATGAATGTAACAGATTGACGAGCGGTATTCTTCAATTAAGCAATCACACACATCTGGTGTTGGATGAGACAGGCTTAACTGCTGGAGAACTCACTATGACCGGCAAGGAGAATTACAAAGCGCTCTCCGACCTGCTTATGTTTCAGAAACTAAAATATGACTTCCAGTATTACTCGATGGATTACGAAACGGATCTCCCAATGTTGATCTTTTCCGATGTGAAATCTTTCATTCCGGTAAGTGTTTATTTGTGTCATGAAATATATTGTATCTTATCAGCGAATATTGAGCAATAAAATATTTATTTGCAGTGCCCCATGCAAGTTATCCTAAATGTCGATGCGGATTCGGAAAATTTATACAGTCAAGTGCTTGAAGCTGCGCGTCAATATTTGAAGGAGGATAATCGATTGACGAATATTCGTCAGTACTTGGAAACATTGAGGCACACGGAATTCGTCTTTGACGAACAGATTACGGAGGTATGTCAGGCATAATTAATCCTTGATATTATCCAGTCTAGTTAGTGTCTGAAGAGATTGACATTACATTAATATTAATTTTTATATCTTTGCCTTAGGTTGTTCAAAACTATTTCGTACAAATGCGAAACTTAAATAAGAATATAAATGCGGACAATCTACACGCATTGATAGTCTTCGCCAGATTGATGTCCATATCTTATGGAAAAACAGCACTGGATACAGAGTGTTGGAACAAAACCGTACAATTAGAAACGGAGAGAATGAGCAGGCTTCCGCAGCGCGAATGACGTCATCGATGATGCGGTAAAGAAGAAACTGTCACAACACCCGACCTATGTTAAGGTATTACTCATATATAATACAAATATTTATTCTGTTTATATATCTTCGTAACTATTTTATTACCGATTAAAAAAAACTATACCATTTTATACACTTGTATTGTGATTACTCTATGAAGCAGGACGAATCAATTTTTATTTATACAGACAAGTATCACATGGTTATATCTCGATAAATAAGACTGCTAATAAGAATGTTGTGTAATATTGTCCGGACCGTTTATACATCGGCTACGATCCATTTCGCAAATTCTGAAACTTGGACGTGTATTGTCTTCGTTCATTTCGTCCGAAATGGAACTAGCATGCATCGGTAATATTTCTCGGTTTCTTTGAAGATATTTCCCGGTGGAAATATTTCCAAAAATTCGTATTCCTTCTGTGCTAAGTACAAAGCACGGGTGCGAGTGTGTGCGTAATCCTGATGAACATTGGAAGCTCAAAGCATGTTGAGTAAAACTTACGTACATCACTTGGATTTATTTTTGCATTTACATGGACAAAGACATCGGGGATGCGGCGCAGATGTGTCTCTGACGATCCACGCGTTCGTCGTCTAAGTAAATCGATAATCTCGAGTCAAGTGTAGATTAGATTAGTTCTTTCTCGATTGTCACACTTCGAAGGTAACCAAAAAGAGTATCTAACAATTTGGAGATTTATCTCTTTCTCACATATTCAGCGGATTTCCCATTCTTATTATAAGAAATTCAACTACAGTTGATTAGATATTGGTGAAAATCAGATCCATCAGAATTAAGTAGACTTTTATGCGCGCGTGTGTCCCGTCTCGTCGAGATATGCATTGTCGAGGACCCTCTGCACGGTCGACATGTCCTTAGCCCTCAGCCTTTCCTCACGTTCTCTTTGAAGGCGTTCCAATCCCTTTCTCGCAGCTTGAGCATACCTTTTTGAGAGTGCGACTTCTCCTCTTGCGCCCGGAATGTGGCCCGTGTAACCGACGATCGGCGGTCTTTCCGGTGAGACATGATAATCTGAAGTAACAATGAGCACATTTTATATAGTCGTGGCCTTTTGAATCTGTATTCATAATCAGATCTTACATATAAAACCGTCTTAAGTTTATCTTCCAATGTAGTGTAGCTAATAGGTTTTTTTGTTTTAAGCGGACTAGATTGCACTTTTTATCTTTAGAATGATATAAGTGTATAAGCTGACAGTAAATACCTAATATGCCTAATGAAACGATCAGTGCAATATCTGAAGATGAACTTAACTCAATTTTAAGTATAAGATTTAATTATGAATACCTGCTATAGTCTTATATTTAAGATCATCTGAAGTTTTCATCTTCAGACGCTGTATAGATCGTTTCATTGACTACGGAACATTTGGAAGTGCATTTAATATGACCTTAAATGTATTTTGTATCTCGTTAATAAGGACATCGCCGTGTCGAACCTCTTCTTGCTCTCCGAGCTGACCTTGTGTGGAGTCAATTGGTTTGGTTTCTGAATTTTTCTCAGCTTGTGTAAACGAAGGGAAATTGATTGACGGGTTACTCCTAACCGTGACGCAAGTTCGTCTTGAGTTTGAGCAGGATTTTCATTCAATAATTGTTCAAGCTCCTCGTCTTTAAATTTTTTCGGCGCCCCAGAACGTTCTTCATCAGCAAGGGAGAAATTACCACGTCGAAACTTTTGATACCACTTTTTACATGTTTTATATGTTATAGCGTCTTCCCCCAAAGCTGAGCAAATCATATTTGTAGCTTCGGCAGCATTTTTTCTTAATTGGAAAGTAAAGAGAATGCAGTGTCTAATATGCTGCTTGTCGATGGCCATTGTGTTTGATGTTGTTTTGAGAGGTTATATTGTCAGTTTCTTTCTCTCCCTCTCTCTTAATATATTGGTCCGAAGCAGCTCAAAGAGTATATGCCCCAACACCACTCAACATAAGTAAAAAAATATGGATTACAGAAAATACGTTCTGCCGAGATTTCGTTCAAAATAGATACTATGAATACAAAGGGCTGGCGAGCACGTGCGCACTCCCGCACGCCGCCAAAGACTATTGGTCTGTTCTTTTTAGCTGCACTGCTGAACTAGTGCAATAAGTTAGAGCGAGACAAAATATACTTGTCTCACTTTAACTTATTGCACCATTTCAGCAGCTAAAAAGAACAGATCATATATAATATGTCGTCAATTTATATAGCACGTTTTAAACTTTAAGGTTGACGTTTCAAAACCTACTAAATGAGGCGAGGAGATATTCGAATTTAAAGCGAATTTGTGATAGATAAAGATAAAGGCACCGAATTAATTTGCGCGCCTGATATGAGATTGGGCTGGAAATATCGCTGCTAGAGCCAGCAGTTTTTTTTATTTGGGCTATTATACGCAACGTTGTTGTGCTACATTGGGCCGGAAGTGATCAACGGGCAAGCGAAGCGTAACGCGCGATGACAGTACCGAAGGTCCTTCTGTCTTCATCATGACCATGATCGATTTCGATGTCCACATTGTCCGCCCTCGCCCGGGAGAGGAGATTTCTCGGATCTGTTCGCTCGGCATGGGCCCTCATCGCGTCCCGTCGTGCTCGCAGCTTCATTTGCGCCTCGTGCCATTCCTTGGCGCCGGCCTCCACAGCTCTCATGAAGGGTAGTCCGTACCTGCTGCTGAAGCCCGGAATATATCCTGCGGAATAACGGCTGCGTCGAATTGCGGTCGCTTAGAAAAGGTACGCGCCGCGTTTTAGAAATTGAGTTTTTCACATATAAATTTTGAATGTGATCGTTTCATTGATTAATATCTATATTCAAGATGGAGACTATATTAGTGAGAGATAGTCTATTTTTGATTATAATGTTTCATGCTTATATTATCACTTCGATAGAACACGTATGTGGGCGTGGAGTTTCCGTTGCGCGCGCGCGAAGTAAACTGCTAATTGCAAACGATTTAAGTTGGTCAATTAGTTACTCACTAATCGCGTGCACTGAAGGTCGCGCCGAGGCAATCTCAGTTTCTACATCGGCATTTCGGAGCGATAAAGCGAAATTTTTCCATCGCATACTTTTTTCGACCGTGCAGTTTTTTTTTTTTTATGAACGTGGCACCGATCTGTTTGTAACGGAAATTTCACGAAAGGTCATTATCAGTCGCGACTTGTTGAACACGCCGTTGAATTAACATTTCGATGGCGATCAAACTTCAAATTACATATTCTGTGACGATATCGATGCCTCGACATTTCTCTACGGTCACTATTCCCCGAAGTTTAAATAAATAACCGAATAAATGTTTTCTCGAAAGAATATTTTGAGATGAAGTCCTAACAGTTACCGGTATATCCTAGGATGTAGGGAGGTGCCTTGTAGAGTCTCGGCTCGTTACTCCAGTCTTTTCTGATTTCCTTGTCTCGTGGACTCAACAATTGAACTTCCCTACCGGAGTTTGGTCTGTATGGTCCAGTCTTGAGTATTTTCTTTTCTAACAATTCCTGTGACAATACGTAATGTAATAGTAGATATACACGTTTCTGACACAAACTGTTATGTTATTTTATAGCTCTTTTCTGTTTCTTCTTCCCCCCCCCCTTTTTTTTTTTTTAATACAAGCGATGTTCTGTAGGTATTTTTACCTTCATTATCTCTTCCGTGCTCGCTCCGAATCTTTTCCCAACGCGAAATTTGAGTGTTGGACAATGTCCGGTGTACCTAGAAACATTTATGTGTGAAATTTCAATGAAAGTCTGAGCATATTAAATTACAGAATATGATGAATTCAGGTATAATGATATATATATAACGGCTGTACTACGATGCATCATTCGGTCTTCACTTCTGCGATGTAGCGCAATGGGTCGTCAATATAAGTTGACCAATTTGCAGTCTAGTGTTCCATGACCGAAATATAGAGAAACATATTGGACAACAGTGTGGCGTGCAAAATTATGACCTATTATGCGAACACGTTATAGGCGCTTTCCTGTGAAGCGTGTCTAATTCACTAGAGACCTACGTTGCGCGACATATGCATGAATGGCTTCTTTGCTAGACCTATGCTTGTAGTTACTCACCGTGTCGATATATTTAGGATATAGTCAAATTTACAAGGGACAAACTTCCATACGTATTATCGTGATTTTTATCCGTCTCCTTCATTCAGAAGTAATGTGGAGTTACCTTAGCTTTCATTCGGAAACTTCTCGAGAACACAACATGGACTCACGGGCCGAGTCGACAACTCGGGATCGCTTTTTCGGCTTCGACTTAGTCAACTCAGCCGACTTCCACGCGACGATGGTTGTGGACATCGCATTAATAAAATGTGAGTCCGACAGAGACCGATATATCACGGCCGATCCCTAAATAAGGTAATCGCAGAACCGTAAAAGCGAACTACCGGTGACCCAGTAAATCGAGCCTTCACTTTGTGGCGGTCACGGTGGGATAAGCAACGGCGAAGCTCCTATTCGCTTGGTTGTCACGTGTCACGACTGTCGTGAGATCTACATAAATCGTAACTGGGTCGTTGCACCGTCTTGCCAGTCCATATCGCAAGATCAGTGTCAAGGAGGCGAGATATCGCGACGGTATCTAGTCGATCGCTTCGGACTACTGTCGAGTTTCTTGTCGACACTTTAAGTAAGCCATTGCGTTTCGTGCGACACGCTTCGGCGATGAAAGGCTCGAGTCGGTGTTTACGGCGTGTGCACGGCGAATCGAAAGATATCAACGCGTATTGTTGACACGTTGATTGCCGCGGAGTCACAAGCGCTATAATATTTATATGTAAAAACGTAACCGACTGTGTAACAACCCGAGTCGAATCTTTATCTTTAAACTATCATTACTCTTGTCCTCACTTTATTTTTTACTTTTATCCTTTTCTTTCTTTTATTCTGTATTTACTATGTAATTCTCTCCGCGCCTTCGTCTGCGAAGCTTTTAGGGTGGCTTAGCCCCAAGGTGTAAATAAATTCACTTATCTATCTACTTACAGGTCATCTAAGTAGGCACAAATTGCTTTTAAGAGCGTCAACATCCTAATCTCCACTTCGGAAATGAAATATATAGCCGGTAGGGAAGCAATGTCCACCGTATCTTTGGCGATTCAAACTTGAGGTGAACATTGAAATAATCAGTGGAGATCAGCGTGAACGAAGTGTCAACGAATTGAGAAGTACCAATGTATTCTTCTCTTGCTTTCGGTCCGGGGCCACTTTCGATCCGCGCTCTTTCTCTCGCACAGGTCGATATCACGGGGGCTAGGGTAAATCACGATAAATAGTACACGAGGTGATATCATACCACCAGCCGAGAGGCAGGGTAGTTTTGTGCGTGATAGACTCGCGTGGACGTGGGGGTGTAAATTGGCACGGTACCAACCACGGTGCCAGCAGTTGCGTCCCTCGCGCGACTTCGAGGTCAATACTTCGGGGATGCACGTTTCCGGGGGTCACACGGCGATCTGGTTTGTCGGAATTGACGTGGGTAATCTCGGCACCGAGACATCTCGACTCTCTCTCTTTCCGTCCTGTTCGCTGCTGCGGTCTGCATTCGATGAAATACCGCGAATGCATAATGCATCGAGCGAACATACATTATGCATAAAAGTGGATCCTTTACCACTGTGTTAGAAGCGTTCGTTTTATTGCCGAAAAAGCGATGTGTAAAGAAATTAGACCGGCTCCTTGAGAAAGTTTGATATATGTCAGTGCCTGTTTATTGCCGCGAAGCATTTGTTAATCCTCAATTGCTCGAATTATACAGGGTAGGGCAATAACTATTTTTTATCACTTTGAATATTTTTGAATACAATAAAGATATTTTATCAATGACTAAATGAAGATAAAAAAAAAGTTTACATTTGTAGGAGGTTTTTCTGTTAAATTTTTCACCTACTCTCATATTTCGAGGATATTCAAAGTGGTGTAATCATTATTGCCTCATCCTATTTTGACATTTTAACAGCCGTTCAGCACGTAAAAATACGTTGGAGTAAGTAGATGAAAAAGTACGATATCTACACGTACGATATCTTACGAGCTCCTTTGTTGGACACACCATGCATTTGCATACATTACGCAACAACATGTGAAACTAACGAGACATTTAGTGTCTGCGATAACAGGAGCCGTAAATTCAATTAGATACATTAATAATACTAACGATGCAGTCATGAAACTCCGCGCTATCAAGTTTTCGCGCCGTCAGTTTTTGAAGTCTTACACTTTGTTGAATCAGACAGGTTGATCGGAGCAGAAAGACCACTGATTGCGTCAAGAAAAACGCGAATAAACGAATTCACATGCACTTACCCGGGTAAATGGGCGCCATAACTTTGTCTGAAGAATTGTTTCTTCTGCTCTTCGTACGCTGGGTCGAACACCATTTTCCTCGTTGGCCTTTATCGCGTGTAATCGTGTTCGAGTCGCACCGCGAGAACGTTTGTTAAGATCCTAGACGCTTTCATGGTTCCCTACTTTCTCTTTCTTCCCTTCTTCTTTTCTTTTTCCTATCTTTTTCGTTAATCAAATATACATTTTATCGGAATGTAACACCGTTCTCTTCCGCGACGTCTTCTTTGATTCTTTGTTATTCCCCGTCTATCACTCAGCAAAAGTCAGTTCTTCACTCGTTCGACCGCCCGTGATCACCATCGATCAGTATCGATCCCGGTCGAGCGGAGCGTTCGGTTTATATCGCGGCTCGAAACGCGCATGATCTCCGCAGGATCCACCGAGATCAATTGAGACTATGTCGAATTCAGCTCAACCTCGTTCCGTCTCGTACCTCGTGCGCGACCGCACCGAAGATGATCACTGGCTCGAGGCGGTCGGCCGGCTGCCGACCGAGCCGCGAGGCTCGATCGAGGCGATCGCGCGCGAGCTGTCGCACGCGGCCGTCGACGCGCCAGTGAAACAGAACGGCGGCGCGCAGCCTGAACATATACAACGTGCCCTACTAAATACCACCCCTCCCAACAAGGGATGCCCGACGCTCAGTCAGGCAAACGCTAGCACATCCGTACGCGCGCGTGAACCGCTCAATCGCGCGGAACACCTCGGCTTCGGCGACCGGGAAGAAATATTTACAAAGAAATTTTTTTGAAGCGTCGAGAAAGGGAGAGAGTGCAAGAGAAACAATTGCATTATCATTAGTATCTCGACGAAATGACACACAATTGTTTATTCTGACGTTCAACCGTAAAAGTTCAATGTCGTGAGGAGAGCCTGTATAGTGAAGAAAGGTGTTTGTAACAAAATGCAAGATAAAGGAACAAGTTTGACTTGATGTTTGAATTTCGGTATAAATTAATATAAAACATATCACTGAAGAAATTGACCAATCACAGTCGAATTATAGAAGAAAGATCAATTATGATTGGTCAATTTCTTAAATCTTACGCCTTAAATTCCCATTGTAGACCCCGCTTAAGCGCACAATCGAATATGAAGAGAATAACTGATTATAATTGATCCATTTCTTCAAGCTTAGAGCTTAAATTCTCATTGTAGACCCCGCTTAACCTCTAGGCGGCCGGAAGTATCCCATTTGGGATACCCTTTTGGTCGACCGATATGTACGGTCCATTGAAAAACTTTTACAGGGACATAATCCCCAAAGTATCATTATGAAACATTCTTAAAAGTGCCGGCCGCCTGGAAGTTAAAGCTGGGTGATGTGAACAAATGAGAAACAGTCATGATGTTTTTCACGCGGCCACTCAACCCATCTCATATCGCACTATATATTAACGCCAATTTAACGTCAGTTTAATAATTTACACAATGTTTTCTTTCTTATTTTCCATTTTTGATAAAAAAAGTTTCGAAAATTTGCGCTATCACTTGTAAACTTTACTTGTAAACACTTGTAGATGCATAACCGTTTCGAATTGGACTCATGTTTATAGCCTGAGAAAAAATGATTATATTTGATTATATATAATTATATAAAACCATATATGAATTTTGCCTACCTATGTAGTTACATATGTAATCATATATGTCTATATGAAAAAAATGATGCTTTGTCATTTAGTTAAATGTCGACATTACGTGCTGTCAGAAGCGTAAATAGCCAGAAGCATTCGAATATATCATCAAATAATTTGCAAACCACAGTATTTTTTCGTTGTAGACATGTCTGATTATATATATTCGTATATGGGCAAATTTCATACATATTCTTTTTTTCCGCACTAGAGCAGTTAAATTATCTCGGGCATTTTCCAAAACATTCTCCTCCTACCCTTACCTTCGTCTGCAAAACGATGCAGGAAGTGTTTTGCCCGATACATCAAAGAGAAATTATCTACGAGACTCGGCTAAAAGTGTCTGGTATCCGTGTTGTCGCTCAACATCGCAACGGTTTGTTTAGATTCTGCTAAATCGCCACCCGGAACTGTGGTAATTATAAAATCATATATGTAATCACATATACGGATAAAATTCATATATGATTTTATATAATTATATATAATTATATATAATCATATATAATTTTTTCCCGGGGGCTACGTTGAATCAGAGGGAACTAAATATCGTATCCTTAGTCCCAGTCTACAATAGGCTTCAAGCCTTAAGAAATTAACCAATCATAATCGAATTATAGAAGAATAATCAATTGCGATTGGTCAATTTCTTAAATTTCTTAAACTTTAAATTCTCATCGTAGACTCTGCTTTAGTCAAGTGTCTCTCTTAATATGTACGTATTTGTAAATCAGTGTCTCTCGGTTAAAGGAAATGTAGAAATCACTTCTCCACAAATACCCCTGTATAACGCGCGCGATGATAACAACAAGTTTGCATATGTATCGACGAGATAAAGTTTCGCCACCGTTCTTAATCCGTGAAGTGGCGTTTGAACTTCAAGTGGGTTCTCCACTTGATTGTGCTTGTTAATGTAACAGGCAGGGATATTCTATCCCCAACAAAGATATCAAATTGAATCGAAAGTAACGCAAGCAGATATCTGTAAGATCGTATTGCGTTGTGACTCGCGGTGTGTATCGCGGTATTCCGCGAAACAACAGGTGTATCTGCCTGTCTTACGGCGATTATCTCACGGGCTAAATTTAAACTGTCGATACGCGCAAACAAAGCGAAGGAATTACTCTCTCGGATAAACTTTCCACAATAAACTTTCCTCGCTTGATCAAAGCACTCGAAATTCCGAGGAGTCTTCGAATGAACGAGTTGCGCGAACGCAAGCAAACAAGCAGTTTGCGGAATTCCTCACGGGGAAATTAACAATTGCGATGGAATTTCTTTTATTCTAAAATTCACTTTATTTCTTTTTTTTTTCTAAATTCACACGCGCCTACCGCATGCTTTTTGCGTTCTGAGACGCGTTCTGGGTGGGAGTCGATGTGTTTGCTCGACAAAGTTCCGTGAAACTCTGTTGTACTCCGGACTTCGCCTTATTACTCTACGCGCTATACGACGCGGTGAACACGTGGAGGATTTCTTATCGGAATTGGTAATCGCGTATCACGATCACGTCGTTCTAACGTCGCTCTCGTTTACGACAGCACGAGAGTTTCACGTGAGCTCCGGCTGTGCACTCTTATCCGTGCGTCACTTGCGTGATTTTTGTAATCCCCGCTCGAGACGATCGCAATTGATTCATAACAGCCAGCATGACGACGCTGCGCAAATTCTCAACGCATTAATCTCATCGCGGATCGCTTTTACGCGTAAAAAAAATATTTAATAAAATTTCGATAAAATAATGTGCGCAGCGCACACATACACACACATACATATGTGAAGTGTCTCACAATCACATTGTATTCTTCCATATCCTATAAGTGCGTAACATTCCTAGAATATCATGTGAATGTTATTAAATGTTAAAATAATATTCTTATAATATTCTAAGAATGTTATGTGATATTTTTTACTGTTACAGGAATGTTTTGTTGATGTTACACGTCCACTTCATATAATATTATTGGCATATTATAAAAAATGTTCTTAGAATATTTAAAAAAATGTAATAATAATATAGAAAAAATATATAAATGAAATATAATACATGTATAATTTTTTTAGTACAAAACGTATTTTTACATAAAATTATTTCGACTTTGTTTATATAATGAAACAACAATTGGTATTGCAATATCGAGTACATTTGAGATAAAAAACTACAACAATATACATTATATGTAGAATTGAATATTTAAAAAATATCTAATATTACAATAACACTTAATAATATTATTTTTTTAATATTATTAGAAGTGGACATACAACCATCTATTAATATTCCAGAAATATAACTTAATATTAAATAATATTACACGCTTGTACGGTATACAGGCAAAATTCATATACGATTTTATACAATTATATATAATCATATATAATCATTTTTTCCCAGGCATCTATTTCGCTGAATAGATTTGAGGAACATTTTGGAGCCGCGCTCTTTCGTCGCAGGATACGAGGAACATAAAAAATGGAGAAGAACGAGTAATAATAATCCCTCAGCACGTTGAGAATAATACGTTACAAGTAGTGGTCTTTCTTTAAAAACGCTTCTTCTTTTTAATTTCATTAAATACGTAATGTATCATTTGCGCTACTCGACACAGCACAATGAGTCGATGACCGAAGTGGTGTGACGCGCGTAATTTTTTTTAGCTCTTACTCTTGCGAAGCATGAGTTATCCGCATCGTTATTGCTCGTTATCGTTTACGACTTTATGTCAAACCGCATCGTTAGACGTCAGTCTCTCAGCTATCCCGCTGCAACGTAGTACACGGTCCAAATAATTTGGACTATTGACTTTCCGCCCGCGAATGCATGTCGCCGCGGTTGCGCCACCGCCTGTTTTTATTAATTGCGCTGAGAAATCCGCCGATAAATCCGCGAGGAGCGGGAGAGTCATGCGGGGTATGCACGTGTCATCGTCGTTGTTATCGAAATCCTCCTCCTCTCTCTCTCTCTCTCTCTCTCTCTCATCCATCTATCGAGACAAAAAATTATTTGCTTTCGAGGAGTGGGACAATAATGATTGTCGTAAATGACGCGCGCGCATCTCTTATCACGGTGCGTGACGTCGTGGTTAACGTATATAAATTATCGGACGCGGAGCGAGCCGGCAGCAGTCCCTTACCACACAGTGCGTACAGATGAGGTGGAAAGGAGAAACCGAGCTGAACTAATATTCGCGATATCAGCCTTTGATATTCCGAAATATAACTCTCGAAGTTATACATCAACGATCTAGTCGATATCCAGTATATACGAGTCACATCATTTAAACAAGGTAAGTCCACGACTCTTGTCCGTTACCGTCGCTTTCGAACTTTTCAATCCGGCGCGATGAAAATGTAATTCGATCAAATATAGAAAAGATGCCTGCATGAAAACTTTTTTATTCACACGAAGAAATTCCAGTTCCGCTAGAAATGTCATATTCTTGTTATTCGAGAGTACAATTTATAAATTGAGGGCGAAACATATTGGATAGAAAGGATATATCTTCAAACTGAGGTGATTCTTAATTTGAAGATATCTTCCTTTCTATATTTTTCTTTTCAATTCACAGAGATTGTTCTTGAATAGCAAGAATAGGATATTCACAGCGGAAATGTACAGAATATCTTCGTGCAAGAGTAAGTTTTATCTTCATACAATTGAACATATTTTTGCTTATATATGAGGATATAAGTCTTGAGAATTGTATTAAATCCTTCTTTTGTAAAGGATTCTCCTCTTCTATTCGCCCCGCTTTTGCAACTAAAGCCTGTTTCTGACAATCCATAATTCGCAATGGGGATCTCCATACCGAATTCCATCTTAGATTTATAATTCGCGATCACCTACTTTACAAACGTATGCATGAAAATTTAATTAAAAATTTAATATGTACGCGTATATATATATATGAATTTTGTAGTATTTTTCATGTCGCATTTAAAATTGTCAAGCACAATTCTGTTGCAAGTCACAGAGTTTTCTTTTCCGACCGAAATACGCACTTTACGTTTCCTTACGTGGGAAAAATGATTATATATGATTATATATAATTATATATAATTATATGTGAATTTTGCATGTATATGTGATCATACATGGGGATCTATACGGGAAAAAATAATGTCATTTAATCAAATGTCAATGTCATGTGCTATTATAAGCACAAATAAGCTGGAAGCGTTCATTTCGATTGTATTTACATATAATTTGTAAACAATAATATTTTCTCGTTGAGGACATGTATGATTATATATAGTCAAATTTCACATATGATCTTTTTTCCCCGAGTATTTTCGCGTGCATTTTCGACTCCTTACGATTACAGTGCACCGTGTAACTTTTCGTGTCAGGTGTGTTACAGAGTGAGAAACATCTCTGAAAGATGTGCAACGTTTTATTCACAGATGCTGATCGGTGGTGCTGTTAGCTACGTCGCTGGAAGGCAGGCGGTTCGCACTGTCTATTGGCGGACCGCGAGCAACGGCCGTCTCTTGAAGACGGCGAAGACCTGCATGTTCCAAGGACCAGTCAAGACTGCCCCTTCGTCGACTTCTCCTGCGCAAACGCATAAGGACTCGATACTCAAAGTTTTCTAAGAGCTGCCGTTACACTGTTAACGATGCGCCGGAAAAGGCGAATTATTGTACATAAATGTCTATTATTTAATCGCAATGTTTGTAACTTATTTATGAAACGCGAGACGACGATGCAATAAAATGCAATATTATTTATTCTCCTCCGACAAGCGTCGCGTATTCTTAACTTTCACATACCCCCCTTTAGATGTTATCGTGAGAAAAAAATGAGATCATATATGAAATTTGCCCGTATATGATTATATACAATCACATATGCCTAACAACGAAAAAAATACTGTTGTTTATATGTAAATACGATCGAAGCAAATGCTTCTATCGACATTTAATTGAATGACAACATCATTTTTTTCGTATAGACACGTATGATCGTATATGATTTTATATAATTATATATAATCATACATAATCATACACAATCAATTTTTCCCGGGTATGCGAAAAACGACTCGCGAAATACGGCACGCTGTTACATTGAAAAGCGATTATTCGCGAGAAGAGAATGAGAATTCATTAATCGAGAGTGTAGAGCGGAATACTTCCGACCGAAGCTTCGTCCTCGAGAGAGCTTATAAAGCAAAATATGAGAGGAAAATTAATAATAAGTACGTGTGTGCGTTCTCTCCCTTTGAGTTTTGGTGTCTCTTAACGAGCTTGCGTTACGATCCGCGTAGAGATTTTTCGAAATCGTGATGGATGCGCTGCCGACCCGTCGCCACCCCCGTCGTTCCATCGCGCGCCTTTCGTCGCGACACTCTTCAATCCGAATACAGTGCCGACCGTTTCCGTTCACTCCGTGTAAAATTTCACTCGAGAACTTCGAGGCGCGAAACGCGTGCGAAACACCGGCGTAGAACCACCGAGAACGGAAAGCTCATCCTTCCGCATTTCACGGGAGGGAAAGAGGAAGCAAAATCGGCGATATTCGGACAGCACGTGATGAAATTATAAGGCGAGCGCATAAAATAGGCATCTGCTGAAAGGATTCCCCAACACGTCGATATGGCATTGAAGACATCGCCGAGTGCGCGCCGGGCACGACGAGAGAGGGCAAAAGTTACGCCGGCGCAGTAACATGTTTATCGATTTTAGGAGCGAGGCTACCCCATACGGTCCAACATCGATTCGACACACGAAGGGTAAACCGAGCACCTTCCGTTTGGCAGTCGATCTAATCGGAGGATCCACCGTGTCGAAGGGACATAGCCAAGGAGCGAAGGACTCCGGCCCTCCGGGATCGTTCGCAAACTACTCGCTCGACGACGACGACAACGACGACGACGACGTTCCCGTCGAGGTAGTAGCCGCCGAGGGTGGTAGCCGAGGAAAAGACACCCTCCGTCGAGAGCTTTAAGTTCTCCCTCCCCCGAGAGAAAAGCTCTCGCACTGCGAGATCATGCAGAACTATGGACACGAGGATTACGATTATGGGGCGCAGGGCGACGCAGGGCAGGCTGGCGGCCGAGCTCTGCCACAAGTTCCGGGCGCCAGGCCGATGGTGGACCCACAAGCGGAAGGTATCGTCGACCCCGAATTGTACCCCCAGCCGAAAGAGGGTACGCACAAGATACGGGGCAAGAGTGACATTCTGGAATATCTGTTCGGCGCCGTCGATCAGGAGCTCCTCACCGTCAAGACTTTCTACTTCTTCTTTTACTCCGCCTTCGGCTCGTTGTTCCCGCTCATGGGAGTGTATTTCAAGCAGATGGGCATGAACGCCGGACAGTGCGGCCTCCTCATCGGTCTCAGGCCCTTCATCGAGTTCTTGAGCGCTCCTTTCTGGGGTTCCCTCGCCGACAGGTGACACACACACATACACTAACACACACACCGTGTTATCGTCTGTTTTCTTACTTTAATTTCCGATCAGACGTCGATTGGAAATCGTAAGCGCATTGTCTGGACGCGAGAGAGCTTACGTAGAGCAAAACCTAAAACTGGGACAGACGTCTATAGGTCGTTTCAAAGATATTTTATTTTAAAGACGACTTTAAGACGTCTTAAGGGTGTCCTAAAGACGTATTACGTCCCGGTGTTGGGCTTTGTGCCGTTTGGATTGGTAATATCGGTCGAATCTCATTGGCTAGTTCGAACTTGACTGTCATTGCTGAAAGTTTGCTATCAGAAGTAAAATGCATTTGTTGCGAGGTATAACTTGATTGGGTATAGTTATTAGTATAAGTAGCTAAGGTTCGGTAACTCTCTCTCTCTCTCTCTCTCTTTCTCTTTCTTTCTCTCCCTCTGTCTGTCTGGTTATATCACACTGAGAGAAATCTCATTAAAGTCATATAGCAAATTCGGTTATCCGCACTAAAAACCGCTACACGTAAAGGCCCGTGTTCTGAATTCTCTCTTATCGACAAAAGTGCGTTAAATGTGGCTTCTCAGCCAATCAGGTGATTCCTAAGTCACTTTTAAAGGCACTTTTATCGATAAAATTAGAAAATATAGGCCAAAGTTTTCAAATACAACGGCATAAGATAAGCACTTTGACGTAGAAATAATTAACATACATTTCGTTAAATAACGCGATAATATCATTGGGTGTTTAATCGTTCATAATGTTTGTATCTATTTTTATTTAAATAACTGTTTTATATATATATAACGGCCTTTAGCACACATCGATCCAGTTAGGTGCGAGTGATTGAACTCACTAATAGTCATTTTCGGTCTCGATTATATCTCCTTTCGGTCTTAACCTAAATAGAATAGTGGCAGTGATAAACGTGTAAAGATATTAACATCGTCATTATAGTTACACCTTGCTAGAAAAATAGTTCTTCCGACAATAATTCGTTCACTCGTGCGTTTTCAGCTATTACAAATACCAAAACTCGGTACATATGTAAGTTCGTCTCGCGCGCTTTCGTGTGCTAAAAGCGACGTTCTATCTTTATTTCGCGTTATGTACTGAAGGAAGATAGATCGATGTTTTCAACACGAAAGCGAAGTTAGCCGAACGAACTTAGCCGTAGATAATATGAAATATTTCAGAAAGTGGCGTTCGGTAAAAACCTGCGAAGTTTTCTGGATCCATGTTTTAGAGAGAGACAGAATAGAGAGAAAAATACGAAACACGTTTGCATTAATCGAGAAAGTCGTGTAGTATTTAAAGTGATTGACTCATGCAATCCGGAGGTTTCGGGTTTCATCAGTACTCAAGTATGTTTTTCAGATACAATGTAGCGTTACAATCAAGTAAATGGCTAAATTTCCGGCAAAATCAGTACAAAATAATACCTTAAGAACAACTACTGTTAAAAAAAGCAATGAATTTCTAGTCGAGAACGTGATTATAATTTTAGTACTATTGCGCGCGATCTATTTCTTGCTGTAATGCTCGCCTAAATTTAAACAACTAATAAATTTAACTGCGGTTAATCAACGACACTAGCCTGTCCCTGTTTCAGTGTTACGTTTTAATTGTCACAGATAGATCTTAGCTTCCACGGCTGATTCTCCGAGTGTGGCAACGTAAGATTCTAACAGAAGACGTTACCGTAATGCATTTCGGAGATCCTATTTTAATTACCGAACTCGAGAATATTTTGAGCCTCGAGAAGCCCGAAACATATCTTTACACGTCGCCTCTGTTTATCTCGCAGGTGGCAGAAGGGCAAGATTATCCTGCTAGCTTCTCTTTCTTGCTGGATCATCTTTACTCTACCCTTGGGCTTCATTCAGCCACCTCCGACTTCCTGCATAGTCCCCGGCGTAAACAACACTTTTTACCTCGAAGCATCCAACAGTAGAGAACAGAGAATCGTAAAGCGATCGACCGACCTGGACGAGCTTTATTATCCTGTGAACGAAGACGAGTATCTGGAGGTCGCGTCCAACGTCGTCTTCGAGAGGCTACGGCGAAATACGGACGATAACGAAATATATGATCACGCAAAGAGACCGGACCTGCTAAGGGAAGTCAGTAGGCTCGGGACGTCATACGACATCGAAGGAAACGGTGTCAGAGCTTTCGATAACGATGCTTCCCTCGCATACGATTTGAAGAGCAACCGAGTGAGAAGGCAGGCAGCCACTACGGATGAGAGCGATGTCGAAGATCTCAGGTACAAACAGCTGGTGTTCGAAAATAACGGCGACCCGGATGCGAAGACGATTGACTTGGAGGCACTGCAGGAGAAGAATCGACCGGCCGACGTTTTGGAGTACAAACGTTTCATGAAGGTGCGCACACTTTCGTTCCCTCACCCGCCGATACATAGCGATCGCAATGACTTGGCGAACGAATGTTCCGAGAGAGAGCTCCGATTTAATTTCACATGCGATCTTAATAGTTTACAGTAGCGAATCATCACTCGAATCATCACTTTACGACATCATTCGGAGAAATGAGTCAGTAATAGCAACTAAATTTCATTGACTACCCGGGGAAAAAAGATCACATATGAAATTTGCCCATATATGACTATATATAATCATATAATATATATATAATTGTAGTTTTCTTATTTAAAATGTGTATTGCGATACCAATTGTTTTATTATATAAATAAAGCCGAAATAATTTTATATAAAAATACGTTTTATACTAAAAAAATTATTAAAATAATATATATATATTTTTTCTATATTACTATTATTTTATTTTTTTTATATTTAATATTATTTATATAATTTTTATATTTAATAATATTTATATAACATTCTAGGAATATTATGAACTTATAGGGAAAGACATAGCTATCACAGCTGAATCTTAGCTTTTGTGGCATAGTTCTTTCTCCGAATGTGTCACTTTGAAGAAAATAATCTTTCTTTCGGCCTGCGCATTTCTGTCACATATCGTATAACACGTGTTTGTTTCATAGAATGAACCAATAACCGACGGAACGGTGGTTCCCAAGAAGGCATACGTGCACACCAAGGCACGCGTGAAACCACCACCGGCGAAAGTAATGGTGAAACGGGACGTGGAAAGGGAGCAAGCATTTTTGGAGGAGAAGGAGGACGACGCAATCGTCCAGATTGACGATGACGACGAGAAAAACGCGAATATGTTTCTGAGAAGAAGTCGCAGAAACGCAATCCATGGCTCGGGAGAATTACCGTTGTCCCCTTTATCGGTTACTTACGCGACAAACTATAACTCGGAGGAGAACAAAGGATGGGTGAAACCGATCTTCAGCTCCATAGTATACAGATTGCCGGTGAGATAAAGACAAATGATGATATAATTAGACTTGTACCAATTTGTCTCTTGCTTGAAAAACAATTTTTTTACGAACCCCCTTCTATCTTTTGTTTCTTACTCCATCTCCGTTTTCCGATTTGTTTTATATTTCGAAAATATATTGATACTTAACAATTTTTTTAGTTTTCCATTTGTTAATCACTGCATGTTTCTTCAAAATGTAGCATTCCCTCCCCCCGGGGGGGGGATTTCTCATATATATGGAATAATTATATATGGAATATGTCCATGTATATAAAAATATATAATTATATGTATATATTTATTTATTTATATTTATATATATTCGTATATAATTATCATTACTTCATATATTTTTATATATGGACATATTTTATACATGACGCCTTATATAAAATTATATATTATACATTTATATATAATTATCTAATATATGGAACATTTTTTCTCGGGTTAGGGACATGGGCTCAAAATAAGGGATTGATATTATAGAGTTAAGAAAAATGTGTAGATTCTACAAATTCTACAAATTCTACAAATTGTTGTTCACTTTCAATTTGAATTTGGTTTGGTCACCCACCCGTCGAAACGTGCAGTATACGTCGATGAAATTTATGACATTTCAGGACATCCAAAAAACGTTCTTCCTTCTGCTACTGCTGGTCATAGTTGGCGAATTCTTCTCAGCACCGGCTATAACCTTAGCTGATTCGGCCGTTATCACCTTGCTAGGCGAAGATGCCGACAGGTAATAGCGATAGAGCGTTTCCTCTTAACATCTCGCAACAGGGGAACCTGTTGTAAGATATATATTAACGAGTGAATCTCAACAACCAGATATGGCCATCAACGTATGTTCGGGAGCCTCGGGTGGGGTTTGGCCATGTTCTTCGTCGGGATCGCCCTCGATCACAGTACTGCGTTTCCGGACCACCCTTGTAAGCCTGATCCGAGAGAGAAAAATTATACGATTTGTTTCGCGATATTCAGCGTGCTGATGGGCGCTGCGTTAATAACCGCGACGCAGATCAATTTCAAGTACGACTTTATGTCCGCCGAGCCGGTAAGTTCATTAATCACTTGTCACGATCAAGTTATTTTTCTTCGTGTCTTGCGTCGCGATATCGTAACCTCTCACGTCTGCCTTCACTCCTTCAGGAAGTGGTGAAGCCGCCGGCCGAACTAACGCGGGAGGAACAACTTCAAAATCAGCTATCTCAGCAGCTGAACTTGCCCGGGCTTCAGGACTCATCCGCTGCTGTGGACCCGAAGCCTCAACCTCCCGAAGGGAAGGTTCGTTTCTTCTTTAATCGAGAATCACACAGCAAAATCAGTTTGCTTGAATTTATCTGAAGTAAAAGTAAAACCGAATGCGTTTTGGTTGAAGAGGATTTAATCAGAATGTCAAAATTGATTATAAGAATAAAATTTGACTCGTGAGAACCAGAGATTTCTTTCCGAACAAAATACGCTTTGTTCATCTCCCTAAATTCAGGTAAATTTAATCAAACTGTCTTTTCCGCACGAATGGCACGAATCCTATAAGACTGACGAAAACCTACTTTGACGATACTGATCGTTCATTAATTTCTCTCTCGAACCTTTCGTTCGACAGATTTAACTTCAATGCCACATTGGACAACTTACTTTCGATGCGATTAAAACAGCGAAAACGGAAAATTTAAGGCATCAGGGTTAAAGTAGGAGTTCATTATTTCCCTTCTGGTTTTCATTCGAGAAAAATTGTCATCCACAAGTGACGTGTACATTTGATTATTTCTCGGCGTTTTAGACGAAAATGTTTGCGCAAACGACGAAGGAGATACCGGAGTGGATAACGGTGTTGAAGCAATTCAAGGATCTCAAGTGCGTCTCGTTTCTCTTCGTCGCGTGGTTCATGGGATTCGGCATCGGGCTGATTTTCACCTTCCTCTTCTGGCATCTTCAAGATTACGGTGGCTCGCCGACTCTCTTCGGCGTCGCGTCCGTGATCAATCACATCTCCGAGATCTTCGCGTATTTCTTCAGCTTCAAGCTCATCCGGCAGATCGGCCACGTTAAGGTGAATCGAGGCAGATCGTGTAACGAATATTCGTCACCGCACTCTTTACGTTGCTCTGATCGTGCATATAATTATCATGCAATAATTGCTCTCTTCGATCATTACCGTACCGTGTATATTTCAGGTATTGTGCCTGGGTCTAGGCGGAAACGTGCTTCGGTTTCTTTACATATCTTGGCTGCGGAATCCGTGGTGGGTGTTACCCTTTGAGTTCATCCAGGGTATCACGCATGCGGCCGTGTGGGCCGCATGCTGCAGCTACATTGCCCACAACACACCGCCGCAATTGCGCTCCAGCGCGCAAGGTGTTCTTCAGGGGCTCCATCATGGGCTTGGAAGAGGTTGCGGAGCGGTGATCGGCGGCATGTTCGTTGCAGCCTACGGTATGTATTTTCGTGTATCTAACTCGTCTCGATTACAATAATTCAAGCGATGCGACTTTACTCCCCGTAAGTAATTTCTAAATAATATTTCGACAAAACAGTAACGACATGGCGAGTCATCTTAACGAGATATTTGCAAAATTAAATTTGAAAAGAAATTTCTCAATAATTGAAAAAAATATTTTAGCTCTATTATAGAATTTAAAGAAGCTTCATTTTATGTTTAAGATAAGAATGGTGTTCTCAGTTATTATTGCGGTAGAATAACCTATTATTTAAGATAACTTTGAGCGTTCTAATCGATTTATGTATATGGGAAAATCTGGGAAAATTTTTATGCGGATCACTCGATTCGAACAAACTTTGCGTGATTCGCGAAAATGAAAGATGTGAAAACAAAAAATATTCAATCGCAATTTTTACATCTAAAGTGTAATCGAATTTGAAAAGGAAGAATATCGAAGAAGTTAAATGTATAATAGCAATTAATACGGAACAATTAGCTTAAGATATTTATTATTCGGATTGCAATATCAATCCGTGGAAATGTTGAGATATCAATTATGTGTGTTCACAACAATATTGTATTGCGACGCATTTAACGCTCACGATTACCGGATGTTTAATGTCCAGGCACGACTGCGACGTTCCGGGCGTACGGTCTTATTTGCATCATCGTCCTGGCGGTCTTCGTTTTCATCAATTTCTACAGGAAGGATACCGGCTTCGTGTCTGAGCTACCGCAAACGGAAGATCCGCATCAAGTGGCCGAGGCTACCCATCTGGCACCACATGGCGTACCAAGCAATGCTATACCGAGGGCGCTTAGTTCCAGCCGTTTGCACGAACTGGCTAATCAAGACGCTGGTTACGGTGCCACTTATCAGACCAGTGGTGGGAATCTGGCCGTACCCGGCGCTAATGGAGGTGAGGATTCCATTATTTTAATGTTAAAATCGTAATATTTGCATGTAGGGACATTTCTGCAGCAAGTAGAGGCATTTCTTCTCCGAAAAAGCGCGATTGTGTTTCGTCGACTGCGGGGGCAACGGATGTCGTCACATTTTATCCAAAACGAAACACGCATAGACGTCGATAAAAGTAATGATTAATTGGGGTATTCTTTTGATTATCTTCTCGTACGCACTGTATTACGCTATTGATAACGAGTTCGGGAAGAAATGATTATATATAATTATACATAATTATAAAAATAATATATATTATTAAAAATAAAATCTATATTATCTATATATTGTTACAAAAAAATAAAATAAAAGTAAGATAATATTACTAATCCACCAGTTAGAGAAGCATATCGCTTGTTTAATTTCTTTTTTCGATGCCTCGTTCTGACCTACCAATTATTATTCGCAGGTCCTGGCAATCCGACGAACCCATTCTTAAACAGCGGAAGCGGCGGCGAAAGTGGATATAATTATGGTATGACTGGCAAGGGAGAGGACGAGTATATTCGTAGGAGCTTCCAGGTTCAGTAAAACCATTCTAATTAAAACGTCCAGCAGGAGGACGCGGTATTTCGATGAAAAGCAAAAAAAAGAGAGAGAGCGACAAAAAATACCGAAAAGAGGGGGAAAAGAAAGAGAAGGGAAAAAGAAAAGAGAGACTTCTGGCTTTGTTTCTTGCACCTTCCGCAGAAGGTCACGAGAGATTCACTGAACGCGAGAAATCCTATCTATACTTTGTCACGAGAACACATTAAATAAGAAAGAGAGAAAAAAAGCAATCCCATAGCATGCATCGTACTCGGGGTAGAGGGAGAGAATTAACGACACTTTCCTGTTTGATAGATCTACAGTGAAGTGGTGGGTAGGGAATTCGATCTCGTAAAACCGACTATCCACCTACACGCCCAACAACCATGCACCAATCCCTTTCATCAACACGACTACGACTGGTAACGACTCGATCTACCGATATGAGGTTTGTTACGTACAATCGGCAATTCGAAATGCGGATGATCGCGAGAAAGAAAAAACGAGGGAGAGAGAGACGAAAGAACGCTACTGAGATAAATAATAAAATATTATAAATATAAATATATATAATTATACACACACACAATGTACGCGCGTGCGTGCGCATATGTACGCAAGTGTGTGAGTGTGCGTACGCGCGCGTGTCATCATAAAGCCGCCGTTATAGGGTGTGTCGAGAGATGATGTGATAAAATAGCTGTGGAAAAAGTGAACGTGACGCTATCAATGCCCCACTCGGTAGATCTATGAAATCTTATTGCGACATGACCTTATTACCGTCCTCTGGCTTGCTCGTCTTACGATTCGGTAATTCCCGTGCATCGTTTGCCGTTCACCTCTGACCCCTTAATGGGCGTCCAGAGCTATCTTAGAGCATCGGGGAATTAATGGTAAGACTAAAACGTGATGCGATCAATTGAAAGTGCCTATCGACGGTTTCCCGATGCCCTAACTGTGCGGATGCCGCTTGTATTTCTTACCAGTGGTCTTTCCTTCTTTTATCCTTCCGTATGCACGACGTAAGTGGCGAAAGTGACTCGGTAACTCGAGCGTGGAATTCATTCGTTCGAACAAGCGTTGGGTTGAAGATGTAAGACTATCCCTATAAACGCGTAATATTATTTAATATTAAGCGATATTCTGGGTACGTTCTTAGAATATTAGACGTAATATTCTAATAATATCCCATTATAATAATTATAATAATATTCCAATAATATTATTTAATATTAAGTAATATTTCCCGAGACGCTTTCGAGAGTCGAACTTGTCTACTTTTGCACTCGTATACCATACACAAGTTGTAGTCTTTTTTCCAGTTACTTCCGTATTGTCGAGAGTACCTTAGAAAGAAAGAAACCATATTTTTGCGCCTTACAAATTATATCACGTGTATACGTTATATGATTGTTATTTCGTGTTATCATATGCATTTGCATATCAAGCGTGTATATTATGCGCTTGCGAAAACGCGATGTTAATTACTGCGGCATGCGAATGTATTAGAATTATTTTAGTTTCGCGATTATCGAATCAGCCAGCGGACTTTAAATGTGTATTTACGTAAGTAGGCAAAAGTCGATAAACCGAAATAGCAGCTAACGTTGACACGATGATAAAATGATTGTCATCTTTCACAAAGTTGCGTCGGAAAGGTTATTATTCAATATCCCAGTATAAAATTAGGAATAACAGTATCTGGGAGGCCTAAAAGGGTTAAATTAACGCGACGAATATGTACATCATCATGAGTAGAATAATTTGCGTTTCATTTGCCGATAATTGACGGGAGGACGCGGAGTAAATTAACGACGTTAAAGACGATCGTCATCTGTAAATATTCTATATGCTCTTATATGCTGGATCTTACTGTTCACATCTGATCCCTTTTCTTTTCCTTTTTTTTCTAGTGAATTGTTGATTGTTATAACTATGACTATCTATTTGACCTTCTCATTAGTAATCTATCGAATTTCTATCGCGTATATACTTTTATTGTATGTATAAGATATATACGTTGTGACAACTGTATAATATTGTTGGAAGGCGAAGAAGGGTGGGATTAGTGAAAAAAAAAATATATATATATACATATAAAGGTTATACAATAGCGAGATTATCTACTGTCAGAGGAGGAAATACAAGGATCGCCTTCTCATCTCACGCTTCTATAAGGGAACTCACTATTACTCGAGGCACAAGACAAATAGAGATACTCGGTGTAACTTACCTTTGTGAAAAAAATTCTAAGTTAGGATAATTACAAAAAAAAATTATACGTAGGGATATCTAACGGAGTTTTGAGATTTTTTAATGTATTTCCTGCACTTTGTAACGGTTAATTTCTCTCATTTTACGAAAAAAAACAAATACTAAGACCGCAAAGTCATTAACTTGGATGATGTTTGCACCAAAACTAGGAAATGTTTCAAAAATCTCGAAAACTCTCTTAGATCCTTATGTATATATATTATATAAGCAGCATTTTGTGAATCGAACATTAACCGACAATAAGATCCGATTAACGAAAAAAAAAAAAAACGTCACGAGGGATTTCGTATACTCTACATGTATATTTTCGTGTTATAATTTTATCCTTTTTTCATTTGAGAAAAAAAATTATTCCAATTAAATTCTTTCGACTTGTTGTTGACGGTTAAGGTGCGCTTTACGAAATATTACGAAAATGTTACACTACACAGTGATATTTCTCGTGTCGGCCGTCAATACATATTGATGTTTTGCGGACAAGTAAATTATACATTGTTATAAAGACTGAAACAAAATGTTATATGCATGGAACGGTCGATCCGAGGTAATACTTTGGGCAAACGTGTGTGCGTATTTGTATTATAAATTATATATATACATAAAGTGTACGCGTGAAGAGAAGTCACACTATTATATGACGTACCCTGAATATATCTCGATTATGTAACTATATATCGTGTATGTTAAGAGGGGAGTTGCGTTAATCATATTTTTTTCGTTTCGTGAAGACAGAGTCAAAATATGGCTTTTACGTACGTTTCTAGATATCTTATACGGTTGTTAGATCATACATATATACACACACACACACATATATATATAATCATGTGTTATAATGGTCTTTCATAGAAATTTAATTATCTTACGCATGACATGTGTTGCGTTACAAACTCAGCTGTTACATACGACACATACATACATATCAGTTGAATTTTAACGCAATATATATTGAGTGTATAAAATAATTACGTTATGAATAATTAAAAGTACGTTATATATATATATATATATATAATTGAAGTTTAACAATATCCGTAAAATTGTTATGTTGATATCTTGTAAACATGAATATTTCCAATTAAATTCAATTAATTTTACCTCAGAGATAGATTAATGTGTATTCATAAATGATTTGATCCGAAGCAATGGGGCTTTATGAATTACATAGAAACTTACGTATTAAATATACTTCGACCTCGATATTCGTTGAAAATTAAAGCACTACACACACACACACACGTATACATACATACATACATACATACATACATACATACATACATACATACATACATACATACATACATACATACATACATACATACATACATACATCGATTTTTTACTCACATCTGAAAATATAAGTGCTACCCCTGGACGGCATAAAATTGTAGCGCAGTTAAACTAAACACACAAAGGTGTTTCTAACCGAAGGTAGATGAATGTAAACGTAGGAATTGTATGACGTACGTTATGAGGGACGCAAATATGTAAAAAAAAAATGCTATAAATATTATTGTAATCCCTCTCGTAGAGGAATAGACGAAAGAAGCGAGGACACGTTCTCGAAAAGACCACGAACGCAGAGCGGAGTCCTTAACAATTTATATGTAACGACATATCATAAAGACACGACATTGTGCGTAGCTTTAGCGTAGCGAACGTATCGTATGCTTATTATTACATATCATATGCTTATTACATGCTTATTACTTGCACTCTTCATCGACACTTGTTTTCTCATCGGCCGTTTGTGTGCGTGTGTATTTCTCAATTATTAATCTTCTTTTTTCGTTTCTATTTTTATATTTGTTGATCCGTTATATCATCGACGGGGGGATTAAATGGGGGGGGGGGGTATAATTATTAATTTAAAATGTGCGAGGTTATAAATATTTCGACTAAGATCAAGTTTTATGCAATTTTGTTATTTAGAAGAATCTGCAAACGTAAGAGCGAAACTGATACACGAATGAAAGCATATTTAGCGCGTTTTAGCAAATAATAATAATTGCCTCATAAACAGTTAAATCGATCTTACGAAATCACATCGTCACGTGTCACGCATACAAGTGACACATGAGACGGGTAGTAAACGTGTCAACAGACTTCTCAACTTTTATTTCAATAAAATGTTTGGATAAATTGTGACTTAGAGCAAGACTTGTCACCATTTATAATTCGATTAAAAAGTTTCACAGATTATTGTGTCACTTCCCTTAAATTCAGCTGGATAATCTCGATATACAATTAATAATAATTAACAATAGTTAAAAAAAACATATAATATTTTTATTATATATAAAATGTAATTCGGAAGACTTTCTTTGAGACAATTCTACAATGACAAGAAAAATGTTATAAAACTGTTTTATTCGATACACTGTTCATATGACATTTTTTTTATAGAAAAAAATCTGTTACAATCTTATTTGCGTAAAATTATTTAAAAAAATGAGATGCGTAAATTCTTTTTTTAACTAAATTCTTTTCTTAGTTGCATCAGGATTTCCAATATACTTCATACTGTACGTATGAAAACTTGCGCAAATGGTGCCAAGTTGTCGTATTATTGAAGCAGCTTTATTACTTTGCTCGCCACGCCGTATGCATTATTATACAACTTTATTTAGTAAAAATTTAATTTGCACAGGATTCTCTAGCTCTTGGTAAGTAAAAATTATTCTCAGAAGGTAAATCTCATATAGCAAATTACGAAATTGTTTTTTTACGATAACAGGCATAAGTGATTGAAAACGTCTGAATGATTAATTCATTTAATTTATAGTTAGCATCTAAAAGTATGATTATTATCCAGATGTTTCGTTACTAATCAGACGATAAAAAGCACTATATAAGGTTATATACGGGATGATCAAACGCTGACAATGTCAGCATTTAATTATTCAACAGGTCAGAGATGATTAAAGATTAGGCATGTTCAACGGAGAAGAATCGATTAAATTTAATCGACTTTCATAGTGGAAGACCTTACTTTTATAGCGCAAAACACCTATTTTTCTGGGAGAAACATTTATGTTCGCTCATTGAGGATGGTGTTACATCTAGAGAAAATGTTGGAGAGCATCTAGAAATTCTCCATCCGACAGCGAATCGGTATATCCGACAAACTCATATGATGTATGCTCAATGACTCATATGTTATGCCTGGGCAACAATGAGATTATATAGATTTGCTCGTGTAGCTTGCACTTTTCGTACTTGGAACAAGACAGACGCATATTCGAACGCTTGAAGGAGCAAGAACAAAGAGATCGAGCGCAAAAGATGCAAGCAATACGTACAAACCAAACGTTTATTACGTTTACGAGAATACGTACTCAATTAATCGACAATAGCCGGCCATTGTTGTGTTGAGAATACGTGTACAGCAAAGGAGAGATAATCCCAGATGATTTGTTTCTCTCTCTCAGTCTTCTGCCAAACTCACCTTCTTCCATGTAAAAATATACAATATGCTGAGTTTATTATGTACACTTATGGCTTTCCAATAAAAGAAGAACAAGTCGACATGAGTCCAGTTATATCGTCTATTATCCTTTTCCTCGTTAAATAACGCGAAATAAGAACAAATGGCGATATGACTAAACTTGTATCGATTCGCGTCCCTCGCTGGAAAGTAATCCTCTTGACGATATTTTATTAACACGCAACGCTTACCTTCACTGTCGACGGCCATGACGCAGGAGGTTCACTTTAAACGGGCTCCGGAATTGTGAAAATACGGGAAAACTTATCCAAACCTGACCGGTTCGCGCGGTTAACCGTTTCCGCAACTCGACTGAATTGACTGAATCGCGATCGAATGTATCGAACTGCGATAATACTCCGCGACCAATTGCGTCTGTTTGAGAGATATCGATTCGCGTTTGTTCGAGAGATATCGGTTCGCTCGGCGCAGCATACTTCATTCGCGATGCGTGAGAAATGAATACTATAGAATAATATAAGAAAATCTTACCGAAATACTTTAATACACATTTGAAAATTAAATATTCGATATATCACAGAGAGATCCCATATAGATAGGAAAGTTTCGAAGGCAACGAATTTAAAGTCGCGCGAGTTCACTTTAAAGTTTTCTATTTACTTCCAGTTTATACCGAAATTACTTCGCTTATGGTAAAATTCTCATGCAACATCGATCGTTAATGGACAAATATTTCAAATAAGAAGTTTATGTTTTTTTCGTCGTCCTATTAGGACAAATTATTATTGTCGAAGCAATTGCGAATTAAAGAATACACGTACATTGCGGCGGTAACACAAAGTAACAGTTAATAAACTAAACGTTAGCTGTAATTTCCTACTCAATAATGTAATTATTTAATTTAACGCACGTGTTATATATAACAGTTATATTATCGAGCGGGAAATACAATTAACATTTAATTTATAACTGTTACTCTGTGTTTGCTGTAGGATGTGGATGCGTGAATGTTTCGAGAGAGGACGACAGTCTGTTTACATCGTTCACTTCGTGATCCTTGTTATCTTTTCGTCCGTGTTTGAGTGACGTCCGCGCTTACAAGTACAATCGTGCAACATCATTGAAGAATAGCGTTCGCCAGTAACGGCAAATTGATGTTTCATTTTCACATTCCAGGACGTGGACGGGACACGACGAATTTACATATCAGTTTGCCGTTATCGTCAATGCGAGTGTTATTTCCCGATATCCTCCGATAATATCGATAAATTGCGTACTGATAAATAGCCGATAAACACACCTCGCTGCGCTAGTCAAAAGCGGTAGTCGAAAGTCGTTAGAAAAAGGAGAAGAAACTCTAATCGTCCTGTGTGTATATGTGTGTGTGTCCGCCGCGAGTCAGTGATTGTTTTTAATTTAATTGTGTGAGATGAACTTATCAAGAGCGGACTTGTACGAAATTGTGATTACGGTGACGCGTATATCGGTACAACGTTCGCAAAGTCTCCGTCGGGTGTGCGACTCGACGTGGCGTTCACGCCTATGTGTTTTGCCGCGACGGGGCCTGCTGAGGAAGCTGAGATTCTTGATCAATCACTCGGACCTGCGTACGATCGTCAAGTGTTTTAATCGCGGTATATTCGCCGACGATACGGACATCCTCTGCATTGTGTACGACGAGATTGTTTTACGCGGCTTGCACAACACCTCATACGTGGAGGGCATAGTTAGACGGTACAACAAGTATTGCCGTGAGTAAGAAATTATATAGCGATTGGATTGTCCCTTTTAGATCCAGGGGGAATAATCTAAGCTTAACGCAAAAAAACTTCTAACAATTGTGAAATGAACGTTCCGTTAAACGCGGCCATCCACAGCAAGCAAGAAATCATTATCGCAATGTTATCACAATGATATTTTGTGACATTTACAAATATGTAGTACTTAATGTTGTACGCAACGTCATCGTTAACAATATTTGACCTAGACATTAAAAATAATATTTACACAATATGATTTTAATATTTAGGAATATTATATCATCAAGTAACAGTTTAGGAACATTCATGAAATATTATGTCAAAGTGTTTATAAAATTCACATAAAATCGATGTTTCGAAAGATTGATTTAATATTTCTTGCTTACTGGACATTGACTTATTAGATAACGAATACCGGATGCCATTAACGCCTGTCAAACTTTGTTCAGACACATATTTTCGTGTTAAATGCGCGAATAGTGCGTTTTAACCCGGGAAAAAAAGATCATACACGAAATTTGCCCACATATGACTATGTATAATCATATATGCCCACAATGAAAAATATTGTTGTTTACAAGTTATGTATGCAAATGCAATCGAAATGCTTTCGGCTACTTGTGCTTCTGATATCGCCGACGTTTAATTAAATGACAAAGTGTCATTTTTTCTCGTACAGACATATATAATCACATATGTGGGCAAAATTCACACATGATTTTACATAGTTATATATAATCTTCCTGGAACTTCAAGTAATCGATGGAAAGTTGACACGTTCCTCTCGATATCTCTCGAATATCGTGATGTACGAATAATATAAGGATAAACGCAGATGGATTTCAAACCGTATCACAGTTACAAATAAAATTAATGACATGCATTTCCGGGTTTTTTTTCGAGTTGAACACGTCGTCCTTGACTCACTTGGCGCGCGGTTTGATGATCAGCGGAAAATCATTTCCCTTTTTCTATCGATTATTTGCAAGTCGCAGCGTGCAAGAAATATCTATGCGTATTCGTCCGTCGAGACGTCGGTCGGCATGAGCTCGGGAAGTAACGTCGTCGCGAATACGCGTGGATACTTCGATCGCGCATTTAAATTGCGCTCGAATTGGCGATACGGATAAACGTAAAGCTGGGGCAGCTCGAGGCGGCTCGGGTTAGGTTAGGCCGTTTATGCGAAAAAAGTGGCAATGGCGCTGCGGATTTTCGTAGTACCAGAATACAATTGAAATCAATGTAAGTACACACAGTGCGCGCGGTGTCAGTGCGAGCATTTTATTCTCGCCCTCCCTCGTGTATTATATGAGTTTTCTAAGCGCGACACGCACCATGTCGACTGGGCTGCCGTTGCTAAATAACAACCAACAATCGAGTCAGACAAGTACGGAGAAATGGCTCTATATTGATTTTCCGCGCTCACTTGCCGTCTACCTCGCATGTTTATACGTTCGACGATTTTTCAGAGTGCGACGCCTCTATGGTCGCCACTAATAATACCTTATCGGAGAGCCCGCAGAATGGCAATACCGCATTGGTGAGTTGAAGTTTCGCAACTTGACTGTGAAAGGTTATAGAGACGCGACGGGGAAGTGACTCAGGTCTTCCCACCTGTTAATAGATAATTTAGGTTATCCCGGGTACTCAAAAGGTGATTTAAGAGACGAGAATGAAAGCGGGAAGATCGCGTTTATTGTTATTGGCAGTCTTGAGCGAGTTGTAACTTAGAACACACTGGGCAGCTACTCTTGACTCTTTTGCTAGAAGTGTCTGCGGTTGCATTCCGGGCTCGTAGAAACTGCGAACCGAGTATGATGAATTAAAAACTTGATTATTTCCTGTAATTGCATAACGCACGATTTCAATGAAACATGAGTTAACGAACATGAGTTAATTGAGCGTTAATTAATTAATCCCAGGGCGAACCAAGCTTCTCGGTCAGATCTATTGTTATTGAGAGTAAAAATTTCACACAAGGTACTCCAAAATAACAAAAGAAAAAAACAATATTTTCGTGTCGTTTGCTGATTCCTAGCCTTTAGTCGGTGTTGTGAGAGATTTATCTTTGTTGTTTTTCTATTTTCTCTTTTTTATATATTGGCTGTATGTTCAAAAATCACTTGTATGTTTATTATTTATCATGCATCATATTGCGTGGCGTAGAACAAAACTGAACGCAAAAATACACGTCCGCCTGTGAGGAAGGATAGAAGTCTAGAAAGCCTTGAATCGGCACAAGTTGTGTGCTGGAGCGCGACACCAACTAAAGGTGATTGATCCTCAAGTCAGCGTAACATTGCAATCTCGTGCTCTGCTATTCCGCCAAGCGACTTTCCAACTTCTTCAGACATCACTTCGCGTTTCTCGCTGTGCAATAAGTCATCTGTCAACAGCACTGACGACATTGCCATGTTTCTCTCTTTGGTAACAGAAAAGAAGGAAGATTCGCTCACTTTGCAATGCACAAATTATCACTTTCCAAAATTGGAATGTTAAAAGAAACCAAAGGTTGAAACATGCTCTGCATCATAATTTATGAATTTTTCCAATTTATACTTGTAATCTTTCCTACTAAATGTGGGAGAAGTGCGATGCAAAATAAAAAGCCATTCGTTTGCTTGATGGAATAAAGCGTCGGTTACCATTGTTATCTGGTGAATTTGTTTCGCAGATGGGGCAAGGAAATTTGCAAAAAACGATTCTGAAGAGAGCGTCAGAAGCTGATATAGAAGGTGACTGGCAGTTTTGTGTATTTACATATGCGTGTTTCAGATTGTATTTGCATATTATACACAATAGGCATACATATTTATTATATCATTTCAATAAAATTATTATCACTGAGATTGTGTGTGTTATTGAGATGATTTGACAAGTTTCGATTTGTCACTTGATTTCAGATGTCAGCAACGCCAAGAGACGTCATAAGAATCCGCAGCCGAAGAACGCGGTGTGCGCGCTGAACGAGCTGAAAACCGGGGCGATTTACAAAGTGGTCGGACAGACCGGGCCCACTCATGCACCGATATTCACGATCGCGGTGCAGATCGATGGGCAGACGTACGAGGGGAAAGGACGTACCAAGAAGATGGCAAAGCACGCGGCCGCGGAGCTCGCTCTACGGAACATCATTCAGTTTCGGAACACGCCGGAGGTTCATCAGGCTATCAATACTTGCCAATCCGTCGTACCTCTCGAGCCGGATTTCACGAGCGACGTTACCGAACGTGATAATCATCTCGTCAATGCATTTAAAACGTTAACGCAAGAGCCAAAGAATACGAGTAAGTTTTTAGACAAAGGTCCGGTGGCGCTGATCAACGAGCTGTACCCGGGCGTTATATACAACTGCATATCCGATAACGGTGAGAGTTACGCGAAATTCACAATATCGGTGACCATCGATGGGGAGACGTTCGAGGGGACAGGTCCGAGTAAAAAACTGGCGAAGGCGGCGGCGAGTAAAGCCGCCCTGGCGAAGTTACGAAATGTTCACAGTTCCTCGTTTTGTATACCGCTGCCCGTCCGCATCTTGCCCAACTTTTCGAATTCGGCCCACTGGCAGGAACAAATGACACTGCCGCAGATGCTGGCCGATAAGATCGGCAAAATGGTGAACCAGAAGTTCAGCGAGCTCATCCAGAGCAAACCGCAGCACGCACGGCGCAAGGTTTTGGCCGGCATCGTGCAAACGAAGGGGACAGACGCGGAGTTAATATGCGTTACCACTGGTAAAGGCACAAAAACTTGTCTCACACACACGCACATTCGCGATCTTTGAGATGTTAGAAATTATATTAGGGGTACTCGTAAGTGAGGTCGCTTTTTTTAGGTCGAACGAACATTGCAACCTTGTTCACGTGGACGTGATTTTTATTATTATATAATCTGTATGCTAATTAAATTTATTGACATTTAATATGCTTATTGTGAAATGTTGAAAAAAATTGAATGTCAAGTAGAATGAAATTTTCTATAAGTATCAAAAAGCGACATTACTTATGGACTAGGAGAATTTAAGGTGTAAGACTTAAGAAATTGGCCAATCACAGTCGATTATTCTCCTCGTTCGATTGTGATTGGTTAATTCCTTAAGGCTTAACTGTAGATTCCGCTTAATAGATATTAGATGTTTTCAGATATTCTCTATGAAACATCTGCTGAAACATCCTTATTCTCTCTCTCTTTTCTTTTTCCTTTTTTTCGGCACAAGGTACGAAGTGCGTGTCGGGTGAACATTTGAGCGTCAGCGGTGGTGCCGTCAACGATTGCCACGCGGAGGTGGTGGCGCGCCGGTGTCTCTGTGAATACTTGTACAAGCAGCTGGAACTGCACACCGAAGACAACAACACAGAATCTATCCTCGAGCCGGCCAAGAAGGGATTCAAGTTGAAGCAAGGCATTCAGTTTCATTTGTACATTAATACCGCCCCCTGCGGAGACGCCAGGATCTTTTCGCCTCACGAGGAGAACGAGTCTGTGGACAAGCATCCCAATAGGCGTGCACGTGGTCAATTACGTACGAAGATAGAGTCCGGCGAGGGGACTATTCCCGTCAAGAGTAACGAGGGTATTCAAACCTGGGACGGCGTCCTGATGGTGAGTCGAGCTCGTAGCGTAATCGTTCGCGTAATCCTCTACAGGAAGGAAAGGCCCTTCTCGATCGTCTCTCGCGTCTCTCACACGCATCTCCGTGAAATTTCAGGGTCAAAGACTGCTGACGATGTCGTGTTCGGACAAAATAGCTCGATGGAACGTACTTGGTGTGCAAGGCGCGCTTCTAAGCCACTTCATCGAGCCAATTTACTTCCACAGCATTGTTCTCGGCAGTCTTTTGAACCCCAGCCACATGTACAGAGCGGTGTGCGGTCGTATCGAAAACACTATTCAGGGCTTGCCACCGCCGTATAGGCTCAACAAACCGTTAATGAGTTTAATCACATCATCTGAGGTCAGACAACCTGGAAAAGCCCCGAATTACAGCGTCAATTGGACGATCGGTTTGTACATGTTCTCAAGGCCCCCCCTGCGCTCTCATCGCGGTCATCTTGTTTTATGACATCAGAAACAAGATATCAATCCAGGCGCAACAAATTTCTAAAAGATGCCTTCGAGACATCCAAAAGACGTTCTATTTCTTTTTTTTTTTAGAAAATAATTTTTCAGACGTCTTTGAAAGATCCTTTAGAAATTTGTCCTGTCTGGATCCATGCCCAGAATTTTTGCGGTGTACGTTCAAATAAAAAAAAAAAAGATATACCCGCATAAGTGACATTTGTGATCGACTCGGCGTTAATATATATAATATATATATATAATAAAATACTTCGAATATTTCCCTCTGCTTGAGCAATTAATAAATAGCCGTTAAAATTAATGTGAGATGATCATGAAAAATGTAGGTTAAAAAGAAGCTTAATTGTATGTCATGTTAATTTTACAGTTTATTGATTGTTGGGGCAAAAGGAAAGTTTTCGGAATTTACAAATGTGCTGAATCGATGCCAAACGTCAAACGTCATTTTATTTCTGGATGTATCTTTTTATTAGAACGTATATTCTGCAAGAATGTTGGGTACGTGTTTTCTCGCTTCTGGTGTCATCGAACAAAACGACTGCAGCAAGGGACGAAATGCCTTAATCTCTTACGCCTTAAAGTGCTTACGGTCGATTTAACGAACCTTCCTTTTTTGCTGCGCATTTTAGGTCAAAACGAAGCCGAAGTCATAAATTGTACGACTGGCAAAGACGAATTGGGAAAGCCTTCCAGAATATCTAAACAGGCATTCTTTAGAAGGTTTTTCAATCTCTTAGGTAAACTTCCAACCATAGAAGATGTTGATGAAAATCGTTGCCGTCATTATCTTGATGCGAAATCATCGGTACAGGATTACTCGGTAAGTGTGATTACATCGTTTACGAACACACACACACACACACACACACACACACACACACACACA